AAACATCTTAATAATATTACATCAAATGAAGAAAAAATGATAGCCATAATGACTAGTGATGATGAGTCAATTATAATAGAACTGTCTAAATATATTTACAACTGTTTCAATCTGAGAGAAGAAAATATTAAAAAAAACAGTATGTCATCTGCCTCAAAATCTAAATAGTTACATGTATTTTAATTTTATTTAATGTGTTTAATGTTATTTTTTTATTTTACTTCCTTTTTTTTTTTTCTCTATTCTTTATTGTACACTTTTGTCAAGATCCTAATAAGGATACGATTACAATAAAGATTATTATTATTATTATTATTATTACAATTCAAGGTGGCGAGCATACACTGATTGGTGTAGCGGAAGGGAAATCGATCCATGCCATCCCTCTATTGGCCAGGTAGCAGGCTCCTTCGTCCACCTGTTTGACGAAGTGGGTTTGTCCTACGCAGTAATCGTTGGCTACAGGTCGGCCTTGTCCCCCTCCATTGAGAACGCTTTGGGAACAAGACTAAGCGATTGTCGTATTATTAGGAGGCTATTTACTGCTTTCCATAACCAGAGGCAGAGACCTCGAACAAGGGAACCGCCCAACTGGGATTTGTCGGTTGTGTTGTCCGCTCTAAGTAGACGGCCTTTTGAGCCTCTCTGATCAGCACCACACAAATTTTTGACATGGAAAACAGTCTTCCTACTGGCCCTCCCCTCAGGTAGGCGTCCTTCTTGGATGAGTGTGGACAATCAAGTTGTGCTAAAGACACGAATCGGGTTTCTCGCCAAGAACCAAATCCCTGAACACGATCCTCAGCTGATCGTCATCCCCCGGCTGTCAAATATTGTCGGCCCGGAGGATCAGGACACATGTTTTTGTGTTATGGCCCAGGCATGCAGGATAGGCCAGCCTCCCCGACTTCCATCACCAGTTGGATTACTGCGACTGTATTAGAGGTCCATAATACTGTATTAGAGGTCTATAATAAACTGTTTCGGTCCTTACTTCGAAAAGCATACTACCCCCTGAATTGGCTTTGGGTCTAGCTTTCTCAAGCACACTGAACCCTGTCACCGTAGCATCATTTTTGGTTTTTTTCTCCGGGGACAGCACAGGCAAGGAAAGACACCACCCTCTTTTGAGGTCTTAGCTAGGTGATGAGTGGTAGTTGTAGAGTGTATCATCCCAGACTGGGAAAAAAAAGACTCATCATTTTCTGTTCGGAGAACCCGCCACCTATCGGCGTCTGACTCTGACATTTTGACTGGTGGGTAATTGAACGTAGTGAATTTAGGCTCCGAACCCACCTATTCACATAGTTCATACCCGCCACAGACTTCGGGTCCCCCCAACCACCTCACTCTTTCCGTAGCGTTGGTCTAGTACTCGATGCGGAGAGAAAGGAACCGGAGTGAAGGTCAAGGTGAGGTGGCGTCGCCACATTACCTCGGTCACGTGGTTCGTGATGTAAGGGACAAAAATATTGGGGTCCTGACCTAGATTTTATCTCTCAGTCATTGGTAGAATCTCTGATTAATGCTTACAGTTCAAAATAGTCATTTTGACTGACCAGAGTCTATGGTGGGTATGAACTATGTGAATAGGCGGGTTTAAAGAACCCTCTGCCTAATTTTAAATTAATTTTTACTGTGTCTCCAATACTCTCTCAGCACACGGGAGTTCTTTCTAAGCTTTCTTTGATTTTTAAATTAATCTGTACATTTTAATTAGCTTATTGACTTTCAGCTTGTTCTTGGTGTTTCTAGTTGAATTATCACCACTAATTGTATGTATTATACTGGTGTATATCCACACTATATTTTTGGGGGGAGCAGGGGGAGTATTTGGGCAATCAGTCGGTCCCTCCCTCCCTCCCTCCCACTGGAGTATATCCACACCATATTGACACTTTTCTGTGAATTGAGAATTCTCAATGTTTGTTTTTACCAGACATAGACAATGAAGGAGTGATTGAACCGGACACAGATGACCCTCAACCGATGGGGAATGATCAGTTAGAGGTAATAGAACACTTATTCCTTCAATAGATCCTGTATTTTCTCTATCAGTAACTAACACACATACTTATAGAAATGATAGCGTTTTGTCTATTGCCAAAATAATTCTTATTTTAATGTTCTATCATTCAAAATAGAAAATTGTTGGCATATATGCACTTCTATTAGAGATGTGATTTTACCAGAGCTCTCAAAGCTAAATCAGTTTCCCTGGGTTTTAATGGTAAGATGTAGCAGTGTGAAGTTGGCATTGGAATCGGATTGGCATCAGTTTGGAATCGGATTGGCATCAGATTCAAAGTATACCAAAACTTTGCATTTTAATTTTAACACATTCAGAGGTGAACTAGAATTATCAAATTCTTCATTGTTGCCAATAAATTATGTATTGTCACAATGTGACATAATCTAAAAACGATGATAGCATCAGTGAGCAGTTTGTTGCATTTATTTCACTTCTCTACAGCATCAGATTCGCCAAATCGATCAAAACTCTTTCTATACCCTGTAGATATTTTAAAATGTTCATTTCTACAACCTTGTATTCACCATTGTCTGTCTTGTACTTAATGTGAAACATGTACATAAACGATTGATAAATATATATGTAAAAAGATCGTTTGAGCTAATGTCCATAAAAACTAGTGAATGTTATTTTAAAATCGGAGTAAGTATTATCTGACATGCATAATTTTTTTTATTTGTTTGTTTTGGTTTGTTGGTTTAAAACCTATTTACTCAAGTGTGGGAAAACTATTCGCAAATGTATGTTCTATAATTTAACAAATAAGCTATTTTCATTTTAGGCCAGGATGTATGCTTTTATATTATTAGTCCCCGTTCAGACGTAGTCCGAAAACGGGGACTTATGTTTTGCCCTGTGTGCGCCCGTGCGTCCGTGATCACCTGTATCTCGAACATGCATGGACCTATTAAGTTCAAACTTCACTCATACATCACACATTATATGGGACATATGCACATGCATTTTTTTCACGATCCGATTAATGATAGCCGAATAGCGGCCATTTTAAGGCCAAAAATGCATCAAAATCGCACATTTTCACCATTCCGGATCTCAGTTATGCATGGACGGATTTTGTTCAAATTTGGTACATACATTTGACATAATAGGACCTTGATGCACGTCATTTTTTTTTTTGGATTGGGTTTGAAATGGCCGACTGGCTGCCATTTTGTTTTAAAGAATTCAGTTCTGGATGTGTATTCGAGACATGCCTGGATTGATCAAGTTCAAACTTCACACACACAAGGTACATCATGTCACAAATATGTATGTGCATTTGTTTCATGATCTCATTAACGATAGCCAAATGGCGGTCGCTTTAAGGCCGAAAATGCATTGAAATCGCACATTTTCACCATTCCGGACCTGGATCTCAGTTATGCATGGATGGATTTTGTTCAAATTTGGTACATACATTAAACATAATAGGACCTTGATGCACGTCATTTTTGTTTTCGGATCAAGTTCGAAAAGGCTGACTGGCGGCCATTTTGTTTTAAAGAATTTGGTTCTGGATCTGTATCCGAGACATGTCTGGATTGATCAAGTTCAAACTTCACACACACATGGTACATCATGTCACAAATAGATATGTGTATTTGTTTCATGATCCGCATAACAATAGCTGAATGATGGCCATTTTAAGGCCAAAAAATGCATCAAAATCACGTA